AAAATGGGACATGTGCAGACCACTATCAGAAAACTAATAACGTGGGCTCAGGTTCGCTCAGGTACACGATCTGGCATTTTCCACTACATGCCGGACGGATATGTCTTACTCACACTCGTAGTCTGTTAATTCGAATATTCGCCATTCTAATGAAGGTTAATTGACAGCTGTCAAACTAGAGGATACGCTAACCATCATCACCTGAGTGTATCGCGGGTTCATTTGTCTATCCATTGAGGTCACGTAGTGTTTAAAGTTTTGCGCTGATATTTTATTTGATCACGGGCTCAATTCGAAGCCCCATAGCTTAGAAAATCTATCCATCTTAGAAAATTTGGCAATCACGTGACCGTACACCGCCCACCCGACCTTCCGTCCGTCCGCACCACAGGCATACCAATGTTTAATCTCACACTTTCTAGCTAGTTTGGAAGCCTGCAACCCGATATTGTACATCCATGTTTTGATTAATTGACAGCTGTCAAAATAGTGTTTCTGGGATCTGGGGACCAGTATCGCCTAACCCTATCGCGGGCTCAGGTATCGACCCACAAAGTTCGAGTGTGCTGACAAGTTGCTACTTTTCAATTATCGCAGGCTCAAGTTCAATTTTTTTTAAATGCATATGAAATAAGTCGTGTTCATGAGCCGCACTTTTAAAATGTTGATTTCGAACTGACCTCGGACGCGAAAATTCATCCGGCTTTTACATTTACATGCAGGGAATGCAATCACTTTTGACTTTTCTCACTGTCACGCGATGATCACGCTCTACGTCCAATTTTTATGTTCTGATTGGTCAAAATTTGACAAGTAAGTTCATGCGGAAAATTTATGCCGCGTCTAGAAACTTGCTTACTGAGCTTTACTGATAGCTGGAGCTGACAGAGTTTTGTGTCATCTTGTTATGTTTTAAACTATCTTTTTCCACTTGGTGTACAAAAAGAAATACAGCTGCTATCAAGATTGTTCTGTAATTCATGGCTGGTTTGTTTATTGCGCTTTTTGTGGACAAATGCACCGCTTGTCAAAGTCATTGGAAGCTCATTGGAAATCCGATTTCGGATGGCATCGTTTTTAAAAATGAGCTTACTCACTTGCCCTTGCTTGAGGCGTAAGACGGTTGAAAAGTGTCAAGCTATTCTGGAACACTTGATGACCTTCAGAAGCAGCATCTCGACCGGTAAGCCTGAGCAATTATTGTCTTTGATGTGTTTTTTTTTTCGGTTTCCTGAAGTCGAGCGTATGGTTTATGCGGCTTAAGTTTATACACGAGCAATGATCTAACCTATAATAGTATCAGGTTTAAAAAGCCTTTAGACATTTTTTGATCGCAAATTCAAAGAAAAGGTTCCGAAAATTATTTAGTTATGATTTTGGCTGTAAACAGAAAGCTCTGAGCGATTTTCTTGCCTCGAGTTCATCTTGAAAAAGAGCCAACACCGGGAAGCCGGCTTAAAACATAAATAAGCTTATGCTTACCTGACTCATTATTTTCAGAGACACTTTACTCTCAATACTTCTCTTCGTGAATGAAAATTATTGTCTCTGTACATGTTTCACCGAATTATATTTATTTTATTGATTGTTAGTAGTCTCTCTCGCAATTTTTATCGCAGCACCAGTTGTTTCCAGTCGAGCATAAACATCGCATGCAGGAATACTCTCCGGCACTGGCATCCTCTTTGCTCGACAACGCACTTTGAATAAAACAGGTGTGATCTTTTAACTTCATATAAAAACGAACAGTTGCGCATTATTGCGCATTATACAGCACTTGCATGTGTGTTTTTTACTTTCAGAGAGCAATTAATTTTACTAGTAAGTGTGGGGGCATTCAGAGCCGTGTCTGACTCTACCCGGAAAGTTACAGCCGCATCTTTAGGCTGTTAGAAAAGCGTATAATTTTTACTTGAAGCTGGAACAAATTAAATTGTAAATTTTACTGATATTTACATAGCGATGAACGGCAGTAGTTTGGCGAATTGGTTGTGAGCATGAAAGTGAATTGAAACTGTCATAACCACTTAATTTTCGAGTTAATTCATATTGTGGAATAGACAGTCTACAGAATTGATTGTTCAATCGACCAAGTCCAACAATACTCTATGTTTTATTAATCCATGTTCAATTCAATCCAGTCCATGTTTTACCAATCCAGTTCAGTCCAGTCCATGTTTTATCATATGCCATGCTATAGTTAAGCGCAATCCGAAGGGACAAATCCCCATCTCGAAAATTAAACGTAACAATAGAGCCTACACTAATAAGGCTGAGATCGCGGATCAATTTTTATAAGCATTTTGTCGATGTGGGTTAAAACCTGGCCAAAAGAATTGAAAATTGTGGAGAAAGTCCGACTTAATTCACAAGATCGACTCCAGTAACTAGCTTTGTTATGTCCTATATTACTGAACCCAAATATGTTCACTATTTATGTAAATGTTTAAATGATCATAAGTCATCCTTAGATATTCCTAATAAACAGCCATTGTCAATACCTTTAACATATATGCATAACCAGCCTCTTGAAACTGGAATTGTTCCTGATATTTTAAAAGTCTTTCCTATACAATTTTCCTATTGTATAAGGGTGGTGATGCTACAGACCCTAGCAACTATCGGCTCAAAAACTCTAAACTCTATCTATATGGAATTCGGGGTACACCACATACTTGGTTGGAAAGTTATTTGCACAAACAATGACAATATGTTAAAATTGACTCTACTAAATCTAGCTATGAAAATATTACCCGGGGTATACGCTAAGGCTCGACTGTCGCTTTATGTGAACGACTTACCAAACTTGTGTCGACAAACTTTCGGGGCGGAGCTTTGCTGATGATACCAATTTATTTTTCTCTAGCGACAACTTAAGACAACGTGAATCCTTAACGAATCAAGAGCTTAAACAAATTTATAACTAATGTGCTCTAAATAAGTTATCTATTTACACTGCAAATACCAACTATATGTTAGTCTCATCATCTAGATGCCACCCAAAGATAAATATCACTGGTATTGAACAGAAAGATTACATAAAGTATTTGGGAGTTTATATAGATAAACATCTCAATTGGCAACCACAGATACAACATGTAAATAATAAATAAGCTAAAAATTTAGGAATCCTTTCAAAACTAAGATATTACATAGATCTGAATATACTGAAACAAATTTGTTATGCTTTAATGTGCCAGCACCTTCGAACCATCTTCTTTGCACATCCTAAAGAGAGGGCTGCTCCGTATTCTAAACTCCTAACTATCCTTAAATTAGATAAGATATATGTTATAATATTAAAAATAATCAAGGTTATGATCTGGTGTCAACCTGAAATTTGACTTGGCATTTTTAATTACTGTTATTTAGTTTCGTACCGTACGGCATCTCATTGCCTTATACATAAAATGAGAAATGAAACTGATAGCATTGCAGAGCAGGAACTTCCTTGATGTCCTGACTCCAGCATCGCGTATACACGATTAAAATACAAGATTTGTCAGTAAACTGAATCATTTTAGGCCAAGAGTATCCACCAACTTAGGTAAGAAGTCCTTTAAATTCTCCGCTCCAAAAATCTTGGCCTCAACGGTGTCTGCCATATCATAAGTTTAAGAAAGAATGGAAGTCCTATCTTCTAATCAATCTAATCTGATCTTAACCTTGCTTATATGTTCTATCACTGATATTATTTGAGATTTTATTTCCTCTCTTTGCTGCTGCCGATTATCTGAACATGACGGCGTCTAACAAGAAAGCTATTGCTATATTGGACAATGTATGAACTTAAAGCCTTTTAGTTAATGATTATTTATCAGCTACTTTGTTCTCCTACTTACGTACACTTGTGTAAATGCCTTATATAGTTGTGTAATAAAGAAAGATTGAAAGATTGCGAACTCAAGTGTTTACGAACGCTTCTTTGCAGAATTAAACAGAATGCAGATTCTACTTGCAAATGTATATTACGAAATGTGTTTAGACATTATAGGAGAAAGTTAATATGAAAGTTACCATTGTCTTTCCAGTCAATAAAACAAATCCTTAATATACTGGTAACCGTTTTAACTGCAAATTAGCATGTCTGTACAGATCTCACTGCAGAGGAGAGAAACAATATTCCCAAGCGTAAATAGTAAAGAAACTAATATTTGCGAGGTTCGCGTTTGCTGAAAGAACGCTTGCGCACTGACATCGCGTGTAAGTGCGCCCGTTGGGTTTAATCGTTTTCTGTGCAGGGTACAGAGCGCTTCGCAGGAATAACGTGCTCTCGTGACCCAGTGTTGCAGCTGTAACTCGTTTAACACCTATTTGGCGCTCTAAACGAAGTGTTATTTTGTGCAGATTCCTGCCACGTAAAAAAACAACAATGGCGAAACTGATACTTATGATGGTGGCTTTACTTGTGATGACCGTTGGTCGCTCAGGTAAGTGTGACTCGCGTGTTAACACGTTGTAATGCAATAAGAGTGGCGACTATAGAGTCTTCTCAATTCTCTTGGCTTCTTTCGCTGTTTTGATTACTTGGTCGCGCCCATTACTGGTGTCAAATTTCCAAAAGATTTGTGCTTTAGACCTCGCAGATGATGTGAGCGCAGCGATTTTGTCGCCACACCTTTGTAAGGTTCAAATGTTGCTTATACCATTTTCTTGTGACGTTGAACATTCATTTGTCAGCTTTGTTTTGTGCTATATATATAAATGATAACCGACATAAACAACCCTCAATGTTCTCGACCACACTCTGAAATCTGAGACCAAAAATTTTTACCAAAGGACTAATGCGCGCTTATCGCGGAATTGAGCTTTGGGTGTTAACGGGAGCTTAAGAGGACGCTTTTCTAAAGTCGTCCTTTGCGCCTAACGAACGAACGTTCAAGTACAGTAAAATTGTAAACATCAACGTACCAGGAAGGCTTTGTATTGTAAAAGAATGTGCATTCTGTAAAGTGGTGCACAGCAGAATTTGCCCTTCTTCCCATTGCGTTTTGAAAACTGTTGAGTCATTCACACAGGGGCGAACACATCACCACATGCGGTCTTGTTCTTAAATCCTTTTTTGTCTAGTTTCTGAAAACCGAGATAGACAAGTTAAAAGGAACTAAAGATATGCCTGGCTGTGCCTGCATCTCGCGTAAAGGACTAAAAATTGACGAAACGATCATTAAATTTCACTTTCCTTGTGAAATGAAGCTAAGAATTGCTAGGTATTGCTAGGATTTTCTTAAGTCTCCCCTAAGTCAAGGTGTGAAATTTCACGGTAGTTGAAACATGGAATTCCAACCTCTTTTTTTCCTTTCATTTTATCCAATCACACTGTTATAAGTAACAGAAAGTACATAACTACACACTGAAAAGGAATTAGAAAAAGGGGGAATTCAGAGACGAGGTGCATCTTACCACATGTATCACACTTTTTTTACAATATTTACTTTGCTCGATCTCAGGTTGGCTTCTAAAAGAGAATACTTTGTAATATTCCTTTCGCTTCGTAGACAGATGCGCTGATAAGAATATTGATAACGTGAGATCAGGCTCTATTTTCGTTTCTCTTAGTAAATAACATTCCGGCAGGCAAGGCGAAACGAAAAAAGAACCTGATAAAAAACCTCCTACGAAACGTCTGACGCCCACTTTTTTGATTGATTGACACTTGCCGAATCAGCCAACCAAAATTGTTTCCCTTGCATGCTGCTTTTAATATGCAAATGTTTCATAAATAGGAAAAATGCAGATTCGATGACTTAAAAAAATGGCCTTTTTCTTTTTTTCAACTTAAAATAAAACAGTCAGAATATTTAACTTCTTGCGAGATTAAATTTAGGAGATCTTGACGGTTTTTTGTGTTTGCGTATAGAAGGTAAAAAGTTCTCGAAAAGACGGCGACAGGATGTTCTCGTTTTAAAAAAATTTGGCTAGGCGAGCTCGATTTTTAAAATACTGAAATTTCTATTTTTCTGTTGCCTTATATTTTCCTAGACAACTTTCCCCGATTAAATTTTTAGTACATAGATCTCTTAAAATCTTGGAGAAATATATCGCGAGCTTTTTCAAAGGATAAATAAATTGCCTCAGACTAACAAACCAAACAAGTCACCTCAAGTGCATTTAACTTAGTCCCGTGAGTACACTTGCAATCTGCGACTTAAACTCTTTCCCATTTACTCTTTTCAACGTTAATTTTGTCAGTTGTTATATATAAAATTATATATTAATGGCTCTTGTTACCTGAGCTAAGAATGAATCGAGCTTTCAAAAGTCCAAAATCATAAAGGATGGCTTAAATTTACTGGAGAGTAAAGAGGTATTGCACCTCTGATATAGCCTCAGTATGAGGCCTTCTTTAAGGGGCTAGGGTAGAGGAGATTTTAGATGGGGGAGGGGGAAGGGGGCAGGGGGGAGAAGAGAAAGGAAGACCTGACGCAGAATGATATAGCCTCAGTATCAGGCCTTCTTTAAGGGGCTAGGGTAGAGGAGATTTTAGATGGGGGAGGGGGAAGGGGGCAGGGGGGAGAAGAGAAAGGAAGGCCTGACACAGAACCATTCAGCAAATCGTGTCACACATCCAAAATCTGGATCTGGCAGTGATTGGATAACACACAATACCCCCTGACGTCACCGACTGCAAGTAAATACTAGCACAGCGATCGCCAAGGAGAAGCCATTGAAATTTTTCATAGATATTTGGATTTCATATGGACAGAGACGTAGAGAGGAATTCGAAAAGGCTCTAGAAGGCGCTCTAAAGTTCTTTCCTGGAATAAAAATAAAAACCCGAGCAAGAATTGTGTTTTCATAGGCGCGTAGTTAAAAGGAACGATGTTCTCGGAGTATGGAAAAGCCTCATACACCAGCTTCTGCCGAAACTATGTCGGAGTATGAGTATTGGTTTCACAAGACCAGGACAAAGAAGACAATATCAGTGCTTCAGATATCTATTAAGTTCTGATTTACAACATCCTGCCGTTAAAAGTGTATTGTTACCGTAAATAAAATTAGAGCGAGGTAGCCAAGCTTAGCCACGTATTGAGAATAGCCGACAGCACCAAGGCTTTAGCTTGACTTTGCTTGTGCCGGTTACGATAGCGTCCATAGCGTACGTGATTGGAATTCCTTCGCTTCCTCTTCCAAAATTTTTTTCACTTTTGAAATGTCTTAAACTCAAGCGGGCGTAATCATACTTCGCTTTCCCTCGGACGATTCTCGGCCTGATCGACATCAGCTTTTTAGGTTCCAGACAAAAGCAATTTACAATTTTTCCGGACGCATGTTTATTTACAAACCGAGCGTTGGCGATCTTTCACTAGCACAATTCTTAAAACATATGTTATAATTCCTCGAAAACGGCAGGTTTTCCATTACAAGTATTCGAAAACTCCTCATTGGAGGTTTCAGAAAAAAGCGAAATCGTAGCAACACAAGCATTGGAGGTCGGCCAGACCGTAAGGTGAGATTTATTTTAGGAGAGCTTTTTGACACGTGAAGCTGACAACGCAATGACCGGAAGTGATTTTGATTGGATGGTATCGAATCATGCTGTGTGGGGGTGGAGAGCTCCAGTAAAAGCATCTGTGTCCCTCCTTCAGCTCTCTCCCTTTTTCGCTTTCATCTTTCCCCTTTTCCCCCAGAAACGCCTGATACTCAGGCTTCCTCTGATAAACTCTGTATTGCACTCTCTTATCTCTTCACTGTATGCTACAATCAAGGGACATAAGTATTCGTCACTTTCAAAAAAGATGCGGGGAATTTTTACCCCCGTTGTGCACACTATCAACAGGAAAACTTGATGCAGGGAATGCGTTTGGTCAATCGAAGGGGGGACAAATCAGCAAAAATAGAAACAAACAAACATCTGACCAAGAGCTCTAAAAAAGTTGCACAGTTCCCGAAAGAAAATAAATAAGAGCTGTTTGTGTTTTGACACTTGTTTATTAAGTCATTCAACATTACGTTCAACGTTACGTCGCTAAAAAATGGTCATATTTTTTTTGTTTGCTTCTGAGAATTTATTTTCAGCTCTCATGAGTCGAAAAGGTGCTGAACTGTCCACAGAGAAGAATTAATCATTACTTTGTCAGAATCCGTGAAAAATAAAGCGGAACTGTCAAGAATGTTGAACATCCCAAGAACGACTATCACGAGCGTTCTAAGCCACCGAACTGGCACAGTTGGGGGAGAGACCGAAATGCTTTAAATAGAGTACTAAAGTGATGACGTCATAAAAATGAAATTTCTGAAATTATGGAATTTGTCAGGATATTCTGAAAGAACAATGTCCAAGAGGCCTACCTGCCAA